CAGATGTCATTTGCATAGTGGTACCTTGTCCACTGTAAGCTTTGGACTTTCTTTTAAAAAATTTCTCATGTGACTTGCGGTTCACTTCAGGTCTGAGCAAGGATGAAACTCTTGCCATTACCCACAAGTGTTTTTCTTGTAAAATGAAGTGTAGTGATTGGAGCTAGCAGGCTTTGAAGCTCACAGTCTCCCTCGGAGATGTGTAGATTCTCCAGGGACAAGTTCATGCAGGTGGGCACCTTATCCCATCAGCTGCGATGCTAATTTGTAACTGAATCAAAACTAATACAAGATGGATATTTTACAGAGCTCACTTTTGTATTGTTTCACTGGCTGATCAGAAGCTGATGTGTTCAATTAGAAACGTGGACCAAAATTGTCATTTAACAATATGGAGGCTACACGTTTGCTTGAGATGCACGGTAAAAAAGCCTACAGTCATTGTGACATCAGACCCTGTAAATTTGATATGCGCCTTGGATGCTAATGACACCAACACACTGCAGTTAATTTCAAATTTTACCTGCAGACTGTAAATGATGAATACTCACTATAAAAGAGATTTCTGATGTAGGGTACTATGTAAATATTTATGTTATTTCTGTGGAGGAATGCCTTGCAATCAGACAAACCACACAAAGGCAAATGAACCCATCAAAAGAAACCAGAACTGAAAAGCAAACATCACAAGAAAAAAATAAAAAGCCTCCCTTCTGAGAGAACGTATTGCCCAGGTGGTACTGGCGTGTTTTCCTCAAGAGAACATCTATTTTCTAGTTTGCAGGTGCTTCTAGATTATTAACAGGATGGGAAATCTGGCCTCGTCCATTTTAAATCTCAGGAATCTGATTTTCATGGAAGTGCAGTGTTTTGTCAGGCACAAACTAGAAGAAAGGATGTATTTACTGACACAGTTGTTACAATGTCTCCAGGACACAATCACCACTCAAACATACCAACTTTTAGCTGTTATCTTTTATAAAGTTCAAACCTGCTCTGATCCAAATATTTTGTCTCCTAGTCACAGTTTACAGTCTATTCCTAAAGTTCGTAGCAGCAGAAAGGGAAAGTCTGCATTTTGTCAGTTATGGTTCCTTTATTTTAGTTTTATTTTTTAACACTATCAAATATCCCCAGCATCAAGACAACATTAAAAATTTGTAGGAAGTTTGCTGCTGATATCAAGGAATATAATTACATTTATTTCTCTTCTAACTCCAAATGTTAATAGATTTTTTCATTACAGATAATAATATGGACACAACGGGCCATAGATATAGTCACATTTGGCCATTGAACTGTTTTTCTAATAGTGCATTGTGAGTCTAATCATGATTCCAAAAAAATCACTGTCAAAATCTACACTGGCTGAAACAGCCAAAGAGAGATCCAAAACTAAGCATTTTATTTTTAACAGTTTTGACTTCTCTATGCAAGGAAATGCATCAGGATTGTGTTGGCCTGTCTTAAAAGCTCCAGATTTTCTACAGCACCTCTTGTCTTTGTATTGATGCCCATTGATTTTGGAAAGGGTTGCCTCCAGTTTTGGACTTAGAGCAGAGAGGTTTTCATGCCAAGAGGGAAAGAGTCAGGAGAACCTACAATTGACTGTTGCAGTTGACTTCTTCCTACAAGTCAACTGCAACAATGCAGGTAAGGTTCCCATTGATGTAATTGGCTTGAAAGCACTATTTTGTCTAAAGAAATTAAATGCTATTTCAGAAAAAATTCTCATCTGTCATGCCCAACTTCCACTAAGGAAACATTGAGAGAGAAAGTATAAGTCGTGTCTTTGTTTTTCTTCTCTAAGATATTTTGCTAATCTGTCAGAACGTAGTATTCCTCATCTTCTTCTAGTCCCATTAGTTTATAGGTTTCAGAAGAACTTTAGTTGCTCAGGAAGTCGGGGGGAAATTCAGATTAACAGAAGGCTCATGCTCCTGAGGGAAACTGGAATTTAAGCTATGTTACAGGCCTTGGGTACATTCCTTGTTCTTTGAGGAATTCTGTTTGAAGGAACAATTAATTGAATCTGTTTATTAAACCCATCTTCTAGCCCTTGATATTTCACCTAGGAGAAGAAAGCCAAATTGCTTTTAAGTGTTGACTTTGTCCAGCTTCCCTGTTTGTGTTTGTCCAAACTCTCCTAAAGTAACAGAGCCAGTTACTTTAGAACAATACGCGTGTTAGACTGCAAACAGGGTTCTTGCTTTCAGTTTAAACTATGCGGCATATGAAGGAAGTTGCTACTGACCACTCACATCTGGACTTGCTAGCAAGTGTTTTTTAAAGCATTTATAGCCTTTCAGTAACTCCAGCATAAGCTTGAAGTAGGAGAAGAGATGACGGCCAGACAGCATACAGAAGAACAAGACTTTGAACAGCTTTGCAACCTGAAGAGATGCTAGAAAAAAATCTGTACTGTCTGCTTTTTTTGTGTGCAAAAGAATGCTACTTCTTAGTAGACTTAGATATATATTAATGTTAGACTACAGCTGCTGGGCTAGGTGTAGATGTGGGCTGCCTGCCAAGCATGGAATTTCCAAGGGTTTTTGCTTGGTCACAATAACAGAAGTTGTCAGCACAAGCAATCAATACCCAGAGGGTCACTGGACTAACCAACAGTGCTTGTGTCTTGTCAGCCCTTTGGTATCTGGTTTGGCAAAACTCCATACCAGCAAAATGTAGCAAAAAGACAGAGGTCTTTACAGTTGGAGAGGTACTAGTAAAGATGAACACAGTTATAGCACAGAAAAAGCAGGTTTAGTAACTGGACTTAAGGTCCTCCATTACATTCTCTTCACCAAAAGCATTGATTTAGTCACATACCAGGGAATCATTCAGAACAGCTTCCATCCAGATGCCTATTCCTAATGCATTAATTGACTACTCTTTTATTAACCACTTTGTTTCAGAAAGTTCTTCTTTTGAATGATCTTCTTTTTATTTTTTCTTCTTTTCTCTATGTAGCATCTAAGTTTCAGCTATTGTTTTTTCACCAGATGCCCAGCTTTTAGGAAGGAAGTTTATAAGTGACTGTGACCATAACTGGACTACTGTGTTCTCACAGAAACCCGTAAACCTCAGACTGGATACTCAGAACCTGTGGCCACAGCAGCGAGCAAAAGAATCTGTGATCCAAGTAGTTTAGTCAGGATTCAACAGATTAGGACTGAAGCAGAAATGTAATGTAAAGCCCCAGTTTCCTTCTTTCACTTAAATTTGTCTCAGGAGAAACACAGCAAGTAGCATAGTAGGACCAGGATTAAAGCAACAACACAGGAAAGTTGATCTGAGATCAACTATCTGTATTTCTGCAGGAAATTGGGTTTCACCACGATGATGCAAATCATGACTATATTTCTCTGCCAAGGGACATTGGAAATAAGAGATTTCCAGGTCAAAATACAAATTATGTTCATCTCTGCACAGCATATCAGACCACTCTCTTTCCCCCAGTTTAGGACCCTACCCTTATGCAAGATTGTCATACATACCTCAGAATCCATACGCTGATGGATGAGCCTATGTTCATGTTGGGGTGAATTTGAGTTTGTCAGACCAGGCAGAGGTGTGGTACAATAGCTTAATTAATGGGAAAATGCAAGGAATGTACTCAGGAACTCTGAAAACATGACTGATAGGTTTGTGTGGAATAGCTTGGAGTGTAAAAGCATGAGAAGATGGAGGAATTAAAAGGAGTGCTAAGCAGAAGATGGTGCTCTGACTCTCTAGGAAGCCAAAAGCCTGGAACAACCAATCCTCAGAAACATTCCAAAAAAACCCCACAGAGAAGCACTGGCATGTTTGGCAAACACTGAAACAAAAATGTCTCCACCTTGCCAAGCTAGCAAAGAGAGGCATGATGTGTGATCATTATAATGAAACCTGGCTAATACTAGTGTGTCCTTAGCACAGGCTGGTAAGGGAGCAAGGGCCATTCCTCCACTAGCACCCCCACTTCAGCTCTATATGCAGGCTGTCAGTGTTTCTTCATGTATTATAATTTCCATAGCTGCCACAGTTCAAACCAAGAGCTGAAATCTCAAAGGCTCAGTGGGGACAAGTGAGTAAACCACAGCCTGACAGTGAGGGGACTTGCAATGTGTATGACTGCCTGTATTCACCTAAAAACATATTTCATAATATGCACTAGATGAGGCTGGGCTGAAACAATGCAGAGTGTCTCCAGATCACTGCAAGGTATCTGTCAGTCATAAGAAACCTTCCTCTCACAGATGAAGGGCAGAGGGACACTAAAACAAGAATAGGGAAGAAAAGTGGCTCCTCACATTACTGACCAAAGATGTAGCCAAAGATTTGGTCTCTAAAAGCAATTTCTGCTCTTGCTCTAGCCATCAGCATGCTTCAGGCAATGAGTAGAGCTGATGATAACAATGTGGCTGGCTGCAAAGCAGAACCTGGCTATGTCTCAGCAAGCTCAGCAGTGACCTCTTTTCATAGCAACTATGGGCACTAATAGCACTAATAACTAATGCCTCAGTCAAGAGAATCCCTTAACCCATGCAGCATCTGTAGCTGACAAACATCTTTTCTTCAGTTTTCAAATTGCTGCTTAAACTGTTTTGTCATTGACCTTCCTGCAAGTCACAGTTTCAAATCACGTATTCAGAGAAAGATCTAGCTCCTAACCCCTTCACCAGAGTGCCCCTGGCTATTCCGTTTCATGTGTAGGGTCACTGAGAGAGGATGAATCATGATTTTAGTTTTGAGATGTTACAGCTAGTGGCAGAGAGATATCAGTAAGATGTTTTTGAAGGCAAGGTACAAACACCAGACAACTGTTTCTCACTGGATGGGAGCTGAATAGGAAAATTGCAGCCACAGGAGAAACCCTGAGCCTTCCAGAAGTACTCATTCACCCTCAAAGCAAATCTTACTCAAAAATAGTAGCAAAATTTACACCACATTTACAATTTTGCCTCTTTCAATTTCTCTGTTGTTGCATTTAAAACAATCTCAGTATCTTATAAACTCACCTGGGTTTGGACCTTCAGAGCTGGCAGATCATTCAGGGCTGAGATGCTCTCTTGCCTACATGGCACACTAGGCATAGTGAGCTGCTGGCAGGCAGTACCACCCAGCATTGTATACATGATCTCGAGTAGAGAATACCATAGTGTTGTGCTCTGATTAGTCCTCCCCCAAGAATGACATAAGCTAATGTGTACAGAGATTCTTATTCCAAAGGGCTTCAAGCTATTTCCCAGGAGAAAGCACCTGTTCACTGATGCATAGAAATGCCAGGGCATTAATCAGGAACAGCAGTATAGAAAAGGCAAAACATGTCTCCTAAAAATCTCTGCAGCAAATAGGAAGGATAGGCAAATATTTCAGTACCTTTATGACAAGTCTTCAGAAGCAACATTCCCCACTGCTTTTGCAGCAAGGCATCTTGGCATCTTTAGATGGAGCTCAGAACTCCACCAAGTCAGTAGGAATCTATTTAATTGTTTCAGTGAACTTTGGACTAGCCTCATATTAGATGCAGTGTTAAGAACCTCAGATTTACATTGCTTCAAAAGCTGGATGTGAGCTTCCCCTGTTCCAACTCTCAGCTTTACTTGATGTAATACTGGAATGGCAGAAACACCAGATGCAGATGGTTTCAGTACCTTTTTCTATGTCTATAGTCAATCTAGCAAATTTTATGCTTTGAGTACCCCCATAATAACACAGCAAAATTCTGGTTCAGGCAGCTTTTTGGAATTGCATTTTACTAGCCTGCCAGAATGCAGTCTGCTTGTAACAAATTCCGAACTTTTCCAAGTTTGCCTCGGTCGCTTTCTGCAGAGAGAGTAAAACCTTTCATTTTTAATTCTATTATTTTTTCACTGTCTTATTTGTTTCTCTGGAGAGTAAGACAACTTAGTCAGGGTACACTCCAATGGAATCAAGTCTTGCAGATTTGCAAGAAGCTAAATCAATGAAAATTTGAAGCCATTATCTTTCCAATACCAGAAAATTTGCTGTCGGAATTAATGGTTGATTTCAGGGATACATGCATTAATGCAATACATCAATAATGAGATGCTAAATTACTAACAATATTCCTGTTCTTTTAAAATACTTTGTCTAATTAGAATGGGAACATTTCACAGGCTGAAGCACTGTGATGTACTGCTGAAGGTCGCAGCAGAAGGCAACAGGCAATGGATTAGTGAGCGCAAGAACTCAGCAGGTCTGTTCAGTTCAGCCACAGGATCCTGTTGCTTCTCAAGGCAAGAAACTTGAAGTTCCTGAGCTCTCTAGTGCCTTTTTTCTACATGTAACTATCTAAAATAAAAGTGAAAACTCTAATTATGATGGTGATGAATACCATTAATATTGTTATTTCTGAAGTGGCTTCCATGACTGTCAGTCATGCCTGAGAACCAACTGCATTAGAGTCTGTGTAAATACACAGCAAAACCATGTTCCATAAAAACCCTGGGGAACTTGGCTCAGAACAACACATCTCAGAAATACAAGTATGAAATACATGTCTTTTTCTTCCATGCCTTGCCTGCAATGATCATATAACGCTTGTACAAGTCATTGCAGAAGACTGACTTGGAGTTTCCCTTACGTTCATGTGACCTTAAGGTAGTATCTTCTGGAGCAGAAAGCAAGCTGCTTTTTCCTCCAAGCAGCACATCACTGTGCTGTAAGCTTGGAATGCTGCACTGCAGAATGGAACAGCCAGTTCCAGCAGCAGAGTGCTAACATTGCTATTCACGGTGCATCCTACTTTATTTTTCTTTATATAATAGACATAATGGGGGAAGCAAATGCCATGGCTAGACCACTTCAAGGGCTCTGTTTTTTACTGATCTGAATGTCACAAGTTTACTGTGAAGAATTTACACTAGTCAGCCACTGAAGCAGTGAATGCTACCGGCAACATCCTAGATGTGCAGTGAGACAACGAGACAGACAGGCAGCCCACACAGCTATTTAGTTCCTTCAGTAAACTGGTGGGAATAATATGTTAATCAGTTTACAGAATAAACTGTCTTTCTATGAGCAGCACAGTCTGAATGCACTCCTGTCCACTGGCAGCAGCGTGTTTTGCGCTGTGACCCCATCCACTCTTGCAGGTTCAGCAGTCAGACGAAGCTCATATCAGAATGAGGGAATCTTTCTCAGACAGTGAAAAGTATTTTGGCAGTGATGTGAATGGCACATTTTGCTGCCGTATGTTGACCTGCTGTCACACTGATGGGGCTATAGGGTTCAGCCTGTAGATGAAATAGAAGTGCTGTGTTCTTACCTAAGTGACTATAATAAATTAACAACATTAAAGATCCCATAATGTTCTACATGACAAGTATAGTGTTGATAGAATTCTCTTGGCAAAGGCCCAAGCCAGGTAATTATCCTCTGCCTTCCTGGATTTGCTCTGCATGGGCAGTGGCTTGAACATTTCTTCTGTGGTGATCCTGTTAGGAACTGTTAGTTATCAGTACCCTCACAAGCTACCCCAAAGACAAAGATGATGCCTCTAAGGTTTCTTCTCTTTCCTTGTTTATAAAAACATGTTTGATTTTAAATTACATCTTTGCTTAAAGATCAGTATTCAAGGGAGAAATGTGTTGAAGCACTCATCTGTAATTGTTTACGTCAAGCACTGACCAAACAGCTGACAAGTACTCTTTGTAATGCTAGAGATGGGGGAGGGCAGCATGGAAAGTGATGACTCTTTTCGTTTGTAAGTGCCAATTTAAAACTAGAATATTGCTCAAGTATCTACAAAGACATCCAAAAATACAAAATTATTTACTTTCTGACATCAGTCTAGATGTACAAGAGATCATAAGCCATGCAAAAAAAAGCTGGGGCAAATGCTTGTGGCTGCATTACAAAAAAATATGGTGAGTTGTATTTTTAGCCTAAATTTACATGACACTGATTTCAAACTAAAATTCCAGAAGAAGGAAATTATTAACTCCAGAAATTATTGCTGAAAATTATTTTTTTCTCATGAAGACTAAAAAGAGAAAGAAAAAAAAAATATCTTAGCTGGCAATTTTGTCATTTGGCTAATCATAGATTTGATTATTTCCCAATTTGAGAGGTGTCTAGATGTCAACTCACCACACCTAACTCTGTGTATCATCAAAAGATTTTATGACAAGTTAATTTCAGAGTGCAAATCAACATAGTTTAAAGATCTTCTATCTCCATCTAAGGTTACAGGTGGTTGTTCTGTGTTAATTAGTTAATATTTGTGTTGTTGCTACATCTTAAGGGTTCTATCAGTAAACCATTTTATTAAGTACTACAATGCCAGTCAAAATTTGGTTCCTGCAGTGTATGTATACCATAAGACCAAATCACTAAGCCACAAGATAACATCAATAATCATAAGCAGAATTAAAAGGAACAGCCACTCAAACCCAGGGGCTTAGACATTACCTCTGAATTTCCCACTGTTCTGTATCATTCCATTAATATTACTGCTTTACAGATTCTGTTGTAGTTTCATGCTCTGAGTGTAAAAGACACTGGGGACAAAGCAGTACCTCAACAACAGAAAAGACTCAGTACTTGGTACTTCAGCATCATCTGTCCAAAAATAACTTTTGGAGGACATGCTAACTGAGAAAATTCTTAGCTTCTACGAGTTACTATTTCTCGAAATTTTAATAACGATTCATTTCACTGGTTACAAGAGAATCTCACTTGGCAAGAAAGTAAAGCTTATCTTGAAGGAAAAGTCTGCTTATCTTCTGCTGTTCATCATCAACAGATTTGTTAAAAACATGGACTAACTTCCGCATGATCAACTTTAATTCCATCTTGTGAGACTAGTTTTTGAAGTTAATGACTTCTGTGATGAGCACTATAGAATATAAAGTCGTCTGCACATAAAACCTCACAGGTATCAGAGATACACAGACAGCAAGAGTTTGGCCATGTACAGGGGACCCATTTGCTAGGCTGTAGTCTTGTTTACAGACTGAAGAGCTGTGAACTGGAAACAGACCACAGAAATGCGAAACAGAATCTTCTGCTATTGTATTTTTCTCTTATTTGCTCAATTTGTTCTGTGATTTATACAGAGTACAATTTGGAAGATTACGTTGTTGTGCTGGCAATAAGACCACACAAGGTTCTTTGATTCTCTTACACCAAGATGAATTATTTTGCAACTTTGTCCATGCTGTTAAACCCTGAACTGTGTCAGTGGGCAGAAAATGGATCTGTGATTAAACTGGATTTCCTGTTTCATGTGGATTTCCAAAGTTTGAAATATTTTTGATTACATAATAGAAAGTACTTTAGAAAAAAACAGTAATTTATTACAAAACTACAATTTTTGAAAAAAAAAAATTCAGATTTTAGGGGGCATAAATTATCTTCTGAAGTACCTCCCTTGCTACATTCAGAGTGAGACACATATAAGTACCTGACTTTACTGCCTCAGTAAATTGCATAAACCTTGGTGAACTGAATCCAGACCAAAGATCATGAATGACAGTATTCACCTTCTTCAAATACCACTATCCTTGATAAAGATCAAAAATTATTTGTATAATGAAGGCAAAAACATACTTCTATTGATGTTAAATGTCTGGAAAATTTTTCAGAATAAAGGCATATGGCCTGCTTTCTAAAATAACAATGCTGGATTAACCTGCACAGTGATAAAAGCCAAGCTGTATCTGAAAGCTCAGGCTGAAGTGATCCAAAATTTGAAACTCTGCCATGAGGATATTTATATCTGTACTACTTCCCCACTGCTCCTCTGACAGGTGTCTCTGACCTATTGTCGACGTGCTTTAGGATGAGATTAACCCACTGAAATGAATCACGCCCTTAGTGTGCTCCATTAAGGACTTTGTGTCCCTCTACTGAAATGTCAGATTTCAGTTTTATTCTCTCCCTAATGCTGCCTCGTAGTTATTCCTTGTACAGAGAAATTATGTAAAATGGTGCAACTGCTTCAGCCCATGTCTGCTGCTTTGCCACTCATCTCAGGAGAAATATGAAGAATAGCAGTTGAGAAACAAGTGTCTGTTAAGATGGGGCGAGAGCAATGCTGATAATAAAGGGAGACCAAGAACG